AACACAACAATTATACAAAACAAAACCCGTAGGTACAAAAGTATCTATCACAGGCCAACAGACTCAAAAAGAGATACAGATACAGATTGATCGATCATGAGAATGAGAGACGGGACCAGATTGGTTCACTCTATAAAGTGAACAGTCTCTCGAACTGAATCTGAACGGAGAGCAAACGAGGCAGTTGAAATAATTATGAAATGTCAAACCTGTGTTCGCGCTCGATTACGCCACTTGACATGGCCAATTAATCTCGGCTTAATTGGTTTGTGCCACAACAAAACCGAGAGAGAGAGAGATACAGAAACAGATACAGATGCAGCCCCCAGATACACGACATCTGATATTGATGTGCATTCGCTTCTGATTTCGCCTCTTTTTTTATAGTATTTCCAATGGTGGTTCCTCGAAATTTGTCATATTTACCGACGGACAAGTGATCGATATGCGCCGAAGTCTGGCGAAATCGGGAGGATCGAGTGGGGGTCTTTATATCTTGACTCTTTTTTTTTTTTTAGCTTTCCTGGCATCCTCGCTCGTAGACATTTTATCAGATTCTTTAATTGCGTAAAACATTTTTGGATTCTTCACGTACGAAATTCCAAAACACCGAAGCTTGTTAAAATTCTTCTATCACTGAGCAGGCTGCTTGATATCTGCGTGTGTGTGGGTCTTCAAAGAGCGAGTGAGACAGCCAAAGATATACAGAAAGAGACGGCTATGGCCATGTGGAACGTACGAAACGCCAATTAAGAAATTGACAAATTAAAGCTGAATGCTTTTTATAATCAAAACAGACAAAGCAAATAAGCCCGTTCGGGCGGCCAACAACTTGCTCGAGGTTGCTTGAAAAATGTATGAATTTTTATTGTCTTTATTGCCCGGCCACGAGCACCACCACAGGCCAACTGGTTGTTTAATTTGTTATATATACTCAGCATTTTGCATATTTTTTATTCGCCTCGTCTTGCCTTGCCCCTCTGTCGTGCCTTGATAAAAAATAAAATAAAATATATAAACCCAAAAAGCCAAAGGAAAAAAACGAAAACTTTCTATTTTCGTTGAGGTCTGCGATGTCTGCCTTTGCGCTGGCACTTATTTTATTTTATTTTTTATTTCGGTAGCCAATCGGCAGCGGCAAATTAACGCAACGGCTTGTTACAGACGCGTTTTACAATCTCGGCGCATTTTTTGCCCCGGTCCGCAGGTTGCACGTTGCCCGTTGCACGTTGCAGGTTGCAGCAATCAATCGATCAACCGATCAAGCGATCAAACGAGCGAAAGCTGCGCACTGCTGTGATGCGGCCATGTCAAAGTCCTTTAAAAACAGCAGGAAGGCCCAAAGGAAACTGGAAAAAGGCTAAAAGCCGAAGGAGGAGGACCACTACCAATCGATGGCCAACGATGGCTGCTTGCTGCATTCCGAAATGACAAAACAGTTAAAAAATAATTAATTGCGTTGCCTTAAATGGCCTAAAGCGGTTTGGCTTTTTGCCTCCTCCAGTGCGGTGCCTCCTGTTGCAGCTTTTTGCTGCTCGCTTGTTTGCAAGCTGCAACAGCAACATGGCTACAGATAGAGAAATAGTTAAAATTTTTGCATGAAAGACTAATAGTATAGAGAGTTCACTAAGGAAGGCCAGTATGTATGCCACTACATATATTAAATATCCTTAAATTTATATAACAAGTCCACCTCTTTTCTCTCTCTGCATCAGCAACTACAACAAGATCAACAAGTGCACATGTTGCTGCTGCTGTGCGTTGGCCGCTCATTGCCCATTTTGGCCATTGTTTTTATTGCCCGCCTGGAGCGGCCATCGGGCAGCCACTTTAGGGCTTATTAATGATGGATTCTCCTCCTCAATTCCTTGGCGACTCTTGTTTTATTGCGCAATGCAGCCAAGCAGCCGAGCAGCGGATCTGGGTACTGTTTTCCCCTCTCAAAATGAACCCGAACTTTGGGACTTGCAAAAACAAAGGACCTGGCTCGAATGTATGTCAACGTTATTGTCCGCATGACAAATGGACAATTGGCCGGGAAAGAAACTGGGAAACTCTCTGGTGAGAGCTGCGTACTAAACGTTTTGGCAGCTTGGCGACTAATTTGGGCCAACACACTGATGATGATCATTACGAAGAAGTTAAGTCAGAAAAAGGGGCTCGAAATATTGATCATTAGTCAACTTTGGGTTAAGTACTTTCTTTAATCGATAATGTTTTCATAATATTCATGCAACAGCATGATTAATGAAGGGAATTATTAGCAATTTAATGAAATCTTATTTAGTAAATACAAAAAATCAAGATCACCATGAGCCTGTTAGCTGAAATGAAAACATTTTTTTATTAGTTTTGTTTCAAATACCAATGCTAATCTTACATAAGCCACACTCGGAAGATAAATCAAGATTCTTATCGCTCGAAACACCGACAAACCGAGTGCAACAAATAACAAATTTTCACTTTTATTAACAAATGATCGCAGGGCGAAGCGGACAAGCACCGAAAACTAAACTAATATCAAGATCCTATCGTTATGGCTTTGTAAAGTATCCATAACGGCTTAACGCGCTGACGACTTCCCATAACTTTTGGCCAAAACACAGACCGAGGGCCAAGATATTTATGTAAGCCAGATGGAAGAGACCCAAACAACGCCCTAGAGGAGAAGATTACGGATCTGTAGTCAATGCACTGGCGATAAATTTCAATCAAATCCGATCGAAAACAACACACAAAACATCGCCCCACTCAGGCGAAGAGGAAGATCGTTCGTTGCATAATTAGAAAACGTCTAAATTTCGTTTTGAATTCCGAAGAACACTAAATTAGATTTACGATCCACGATCAAAGCAGCCAGAACGCATGGAACGCAATTAAAATCAGCTTAATAATTCTCCCCAGAAGAAAGCAGATCAGACCTTCGGCTCGGCATTCCCAAGGTGTGATAATAATTTTATGAAAGAGTCCAGCGAGGCAACAAATCAATTCCCCATAATGCCAATAAAAAAGATTTGAAGAAGGCATTTACATTCATGAACATAAATCTTTTTAGTGAGCACAATGCTGGAATAAAATAAGAAAGAACTTAAGCAGACACATCCAACAATTTCATTATGAGGCCATGAATGAACCAGGTCCAGCTCTGAGGGCCTCAATGAATGAATGAAAACTAGATGCTGCTTTCTGGATTTATTGCTGGGCCCATTTTGGCGGCGAGTCACTGTTTTTTTTTTTATATTTTTTGGAGGACCTCACAATCGGTTAGAGAGCATTACGGGCGATTAGGTGTTAAACACACAATTCGTTGGGCATTTCTGCCCGAAATTGTCTGCCGTAATTTATGACCCGTGGAACATTGCTAGAGCCCGAAAGGGGGTTAACACCGCTGACGAACTGCAGGGCTGCGGATCTGCAGGTAGGACCCACCTCGGTGGTCGAGTCCCCTTACAGATTTTACCAGATTTTCACTCAAGTGCAAATCCTGAGCATGCGCCGCTGGACACTCCACTGAAAATCTCAGTGAAAAAGTTCACTGGAAATGCACTGAAAATGTAAAAAGGAAATTATATTCCTGATTAACATGAAACTATAATGGATAGATATGGATAGAAGTACTCTAGCCCAACCAATCATTTTGATGAAAAATGTAATCCTTAGATACTTCTCTTTCTATTTATAATTCTAATACCTTTCGAAATTGATTTAATATTTAAAAAAGCAAGTAAAGTTTGGTATAATAAAGTATTAAAAAGTGATATTTATAATATTCATTAATATGTATCTTAATTTTCTTTTTTATTATTAATAAAAAATCCGTTTAAAAAATATGTAAAATTCTCTGAAACCAAAAATATTTTCTGTGCACTTGCGAAGCTTTTTCGTTGGCGCCTCGGCGCCGCAATTAAGCAGAAATCGGTAAAATAAAAAATAAAAAAGAGCAAAAATTAAGGTTAATGTAGGCCGGGGTCTGCTAATTAAGATATGGTTGCCTGGCCGCGAACGCTCCACTGATTCCGATTCCTCGGAGTCCACAGTCCACCGTTCAGAGCCCGAAGTCCGGTGTCCAGAGCTCAGATTCTCCCTGCACCTTTCGACAAGTCATTGAGCTGTTAAATTTATTTAATGCCTGCACAATGGAGGCAAACATGTTGCCAGTGGCTTTGTTATTAATTTTTATTGCTGTGCGATTGAGACAAGTTAATTTCTCCATGCAGCCATTCTTATTCGCTGGAATTGTCCGAGTCACGAACCGATTCCCAGGATCCCCGAGGATCGGCGGGCTGCCTGCTGGGCCTTTGTCTGTAGCCTAGAGTGCGCAGGTCCTTTTTCTACCCGAGATCTCAATGAATGACGAGGTCCTTCATTCATGTCTTTAACTCTCGAGAGTTTCCATTCAGCCCGAAAAAAGATCTCCCAGTTTTGTGGGTGTGTCGTTCGGGGATTACACTAATGCGATAGTTGTCCCACAATTTAATGCACTCACCGCAGCACTCGAGCGAGGATTTAATGATGTTCCCACCAAGTTCAAGTGCTCCGTGTCGGCAGATTCGCAAAAAGGATTTTCGGTTTTTGTTAGAGAAAATGAGAAACAACGAAATCCTTTCATATGTTTCAAGAACCCTTCATATTTCATCGACACTTGAGAGTGCCCAGTGCCGCCAGAAGTGTTTATTGTCTCTGGACATTGTCTGAGGACTCTCTACGGAGATCCTTTTCGAGATCTGAAACCGATCCTCGAACTTCTTCAAGTGCAGGTGAGCACGAGCCCTGTTTCGCTGACTAAGCGACTTTTTGAACTGAAAATCTTCTTGAGTTGCTGGAACTGATGCGCTTAACTCTTTGACTTTGTTTTGGGTTAGGCAGATCGGCTTACGATAAGAGCCTTAGCCCTTGAAGCCCTTACTCTAGTTACGGGTTAGAGTATCTTTTTAACCCTACAGCACTTTAGATACTACATGCTATGAAGTATCTTTAGCAGAAAGCATAGCACGTACTTGTTACCGCTGCTCCCTTATCTTTTATTTACTCAACTCTCTAAAAAGTCTATAAAGTTACTTCCTGTACCACATCTGCAAGGTCCTCATGCGCTTGACCTTCTTCTGCAGCTGTAGGATTCCATACATTAAGGCCTCAGCGGAGGGCGGACATCCGGGCACGTATATATCCACCGGGACAATCCGATCGCAGCCACGAACCACCGAATACGAGTAATGATAGTAGCCACCTCCATTGGCACAACTGCCCATGGAGATGACCCACCTGGGTTCCGGCATCTGGTCATAAACCTTCCGGAAAGCCGGTGCCATTTTGTTGGTCAACGTTCCGGCCACGATCAGCACATCTCCCTGACGAGGTGAAGCCCGGAAAACCACTCCATAGCGGTCCATGTCATATCGAGGAGCTGCGATGTGCATCATTTCCACGGCGCAGCAGGCCAGGCCAAAGGTCACCGGCCAGAGGGAACCCTTGCGACCCCAGTTCAGAAGGTCATCCAACCTGGCACAGGTCCACTCTCCCCAGGTCTTCTGATCCCTTCCAAAGGCCGAGTAACCCCATTTCGGAGGATCCGGGCAGGGATACCCATAAACCGGCATGGTCTTCTGGCCACGCAGCCACTGGCCTTGGATCACTGGGGCACTGGAAAGCAGCAACTTGCCAGCATTCCTGGTTAACATCAAGGAACCTATCATCCTGACAAGATTTTGTATCTTAATTTACTTTTTGTGGTTGCAACTTGAAAATATGAAAACTTATTTCTGTTTCTCGATATTGTTAGCAATAGATAAAGTTTGACAAGATATTCTAAGATATCTTTTCATTAACCTTATTCATAGTTAACTTGAAGTACGTACGTTAATAAATTACCCTCACAGGTTTCAAGAACATAAAAATAAACATTTTTCGTTTTATTTTTATACCAACTTTGCCTTTAATATTTATTGCCTTTTTAGCCATATTATAAAAGATGCGATTAATAATTTACGATGCACGTTTACACCTCAGCCCCGACCCTGTTAAAGATATATATTCCTCCAATATTATCTTCAAAATCCCATTTAGATCCCCTTAACGCCAGCGCTTGGCGTCAAAATCAATCCGAAAAGCTAGGCACTTAATGCTGGGCGGACAGCGAACAGGAATCACTGGGCTCATAAATACGCATGAGGCTGGAGCCTCCATTCATGCAGCATGCTGCAAGTTCGAACGGAGATCGTTTAAAAGGAAATTATTAGCTGATTGCGGCAGCGCCAACCCGCTGCTGTACTTGGGTATTTAATGGGACCTGAGGACCTGGGGACATGCAACCTGGGCCTGGGACTTGGGTTAGGTTACAGGGGCTATGAAGCAATTGCATCCGCGCAGAACTTACGCAATCGATGCTCGAGCTCATTACGGAATCGACACTGAGGAGATGCACTGGTGGAAAGGATGTTAATATTAATTTATTATATCTTTTTATTCACCAATCTCAGAAGGTTAATCTCATCTCAACCTTAACTTAAAAATCTATAAAACAGAGTTTCTCATCTTATTCATACTCCTTCTGATCGCCTTACTTAATTCATTTCAAATTAATATTTAACTTCTTAGACTTAATGACTTCTGCAAATATATTTCCAAGTGTGAGATTGGAGTCATGGCGCTGGCACAGCTGGCAGTCGCTACTCGATGGAAAAATGGCAACTGCCACCGCGTCTGCTGCTGTGTCTTTTTGCGGTTTTTAATTAACGCTTTTGCACAATGCTTGTCTAATTACGCCTTTGGTGCCACAGACACGGCAGCAACTACTAAATCATCAATATTGTCAAACGGCAGCTGCTGGTTCTGCAGATGGGTTGAGAATCCTTCAGGACGAGCAATAGAAAAAAACACAAAGACCTGAGATGGCAGACAGGCAACAGCAACAGCAACAGCAACAGCCATTGACGACGATCATCGCATGGCAATTAGGCATTGGCTGCATTTGATGCATCATTAATTGAATTAAATTTGCATTTAAATGCGCACCTATGAATGGAGCAGGAACCTCTGGCCACTGGCATTTTCCCAGCCAACCAGCTAGCCAGCTCGTCTGCCTCGACAATAAACCGCTGATGAAGTCATATAAGCCCGGCTCGAACGCATTGGCCAAATGCAGCAAACGCTGAAAATGCTGCGTACCCAGCGAAAATGCCAATTTAAAATGGCTAAAATAAATTGGTTTCGTTCGGCTTTGTTCGCTCCTCCGATGGCTGGCCAACGCAAAATAGACTATCATCAATTTAAAATCAATATGTCACATAAATTGGAAGGGAAATCAACGCCAAAAGCCGCCAACGATATTGGCCAAGGAAAATGTACGAAAAAAACGGAAAAGAAAGATGCGAAATAAATAGGTAAAGGAGAAGAAGAAAGGAAAGGCTGGGAAAGTTTGGATGCCCTTAAAGCTTAATCGGGAAAAAAAATTATTTATATTTTGGAAAACTTCTTCTAGTTGTGATTTCTTTGAAAGAAAATGTTTAAGAAATGTTTAAGAAACTTCTTCTACTTCTAACTTCTTAAGCTTATTATAATGTCTTTTTGCTGCTTAAACATTAATTCGTTTTAAAATGTTTAGTAACCTAACTTTTAACCCAGAGATAAGTTAGAGTTATCCTTTTCAAGGAAGGGTATGACAAAAAATGGACAAAGGCTGGAGAGTTGCAACTGCAGAGTCCACTGCGATTACTTTGCTATAATTCGTCGTCATCGTTGCTGCAACTGCTGCCTGCTGCAACTGCAACTGCAACAATTGCAGCAACTGTTTGGTGACATCGTCGCTGGGGTTTTATTGGCCACTTTTGGCCACATCAGCGACAACGATGAGACAGCCGAGTGCGCTTCCTGTCTCATGGCTCATAGCATATAGCATATATAGCCCACTATATATATATATGGCTATATATCTGTGTGAGCCGGACAACTTGCCATTATTATGCGCATGTTGCATTGCATTGTTGGTCCTGGCCTGCTGCTGTTGCTGCTGTTGTTGCCGGATTTGTCAGCGATCCTCAAAGTGATAAAAATTGCTCGTAAATCCTTAACGAGTGGAACTAACACGCGCTGGCTGGCTGGCTGTTTTACTAACCGAAACTCGGCCCACTCCCCCGCAACCGCACACCACATTTGTCTTTTTAGCAGACTCCTAAAACAACATGCCACATGGAACAATGGCCGATCCGCAGACCGAAATGGACGCGCTCATCTCTTGATCTGCATTGTTAGCGGCCAGCAGCAGCGACATCCGCAGGAGCAGCATCAGCAACAGGAGCAACTTTGCCAGCATAACACTGAGAAAAAATGTCACTGATTTCTTAATAATAAAATGACAAACCCTAAGTTTTAAAACTATTTAATATCTGATAGAACTGCAGATATTCTCCCTGTGCAGTAGCATCTCCAGCATTCCGATTTCATTGTGACTTTTGGATCTCTCTTTGCATTCACCAGAACTCGCGCCAATCCATTGGTTTTGGCCAGTTTATGCATCACCAAACACCAAATTGACTCCATTAAATTCCAATTGTGCCAATGTTCCTGTAAGCTGGGGGAGGAGAGGCCAAAACAAATGCCAAGTGTTGGCCAAGTTGATGCTTCGCTGCAACAATGTAGTGAGATCTACTTTCCCCTCTTAAAGAGTTTCTACTCTAACCAGAGCAACTTAAGTGATATATAACAAGAATATTTTTTAGTACTCCCTTAATTTGGAGTCCCCCAACATGCTATAAGCAACGATAAGCCACAATTAAGCCTTTATGTCCGCTCGATTATCGCTAATTTAACAACCCCACACAAGAAGCCAGCGCAGAGTTACAGGTTAACGCTAACAAATCAGATCGAAACCATATGGTTAACCAATTAAAGATGCAAAAGACAAAAGCCAGAGCCCAGCTGACAATAAAACCAACAAATTTTCGTATTTAACGATCGGCAAATTAACATACATTTACACATGCCGGGGATCCGAGAGCCGAGAGCGGGGCAAACGGGTTTTCAACTTTTCGAGGCGGGCCACCGTCAGTCAGAGTGACCGACCACCCAAATGGGAGATATGGGGAGGCAGTGATGTCGCTTTGGGAGGAACTAAAGTAAAGAAATTTCCATGACAAAAACGGACTACAACAAATTTGGAAAAGTAGTGAAGATTGTAAGTGATTTTTAATAACAAATATCTTTTGCTATTAAGACATAAAATCATATTTAACAACTTTAAGGTACAGAAATTGGTATTCAGCTTAAAAATATATCTTAAATATTTGTTTTTTTTGAAAAATAACAATAAACAATAAACAATTTCAAAAATTATTTACCATATACATGATAATACCATATAAATCACTAGTTAAACCACCAGATTATATCAAAAAAATATCTAAAAAGCCAACACTGACTAGGCAGGAGGCAGCTGAAGCTTGGGAAGGGGCATTAGCTCTACTTTGTTTTATAAGTAGGTGTTGACAGTTCGTTATAATAATAACTACTTTAAAATAATCCCCGACCAGAGCTGATAATTAATTACGAACGATTAATGACAATGTTATCTAAGCGCTTGACAAATGCCGCGGGGGGGAAAAAGCAAAAGCAAAAACAAAGCCAAACAGACGGAACGCTCCACTCGGCGACTTTTCGCTCGAGTTCAGATGAGTTCAACCATAACACCTCCGCCTTCTTTTCGAGGGCGTGGCGACCGCCTGCTGTTCTCAACTAACTGTGCTGCTTAATTTGCGAATAATTCGATCAACAGCTTTTTCTGAGGGGTTTCTACAGTGGATATTGCTTAAAAAGTTAGAAGTTTATTACTGTAACGAACTAAAAATTTTATTGACTTGCAACTATCAAGGAAAAGAGAAATCGAAGCGGCGGCATATTTGTAAATACATTTCTTAGCTTTCACTTAATGGAATGGAAATGAAGACTGTATTTATTTTTTACTCCACAACCTTCCCCCAAAAAACTAAAAAAAAAACCAACCCAAGTCGGCCTCTTTGAACCGCTTGTTGTGGTTGTTATGTAAAACACACAAAATCCTTTTAATACATAATGTCACATTCACATCACTTACCCCAAAAACATTTGTATTTGTCTTTGTTTTCCGTGTGTTTGCCTTTGGCTTGTACGATTTTCCTTTCGACCCGACCGCACTTTCACTTTTCCCGCTCTCCGGCGGATAATTAATGTGCTTCGCGACCCGGAGTTTCCCCTAAGTAGGCTGCTCTATATATCCCCTCCTAATACATAATTACGATGTTTCATTAACAGCATTAGCAGCGACAATATTTCACCCGATTTTCGAGTAGGCCCTCGCCATATTCCCAACTGAAGTGAAGTGAAGTGGAGGTGTCTCATCTCGTTTGCTTCCATCCACTCGGAGTCTTGATTTATCGACACTAGGCCAGGATAGTTCAGATGCTTTTCTGCCGTGGGTGGCAACTAGAGATGAAATAGATGGGATATATATACTATGATCATCCAGTCTTTTTGAGAGGTAGAGGAAAAAACCATCCTAATACTAATAATGGTAAAAACAAAAATATATACTTATGCCTTACATATTTTTACTTAATTTGTTAGAAATAAAATTTCCTTAAAATATTTTTAAATAGATTTTAGACTTCCAGACTCACGCTCTCATCTCTAGTCCCCCGGATCTGGGCGTTATGGATTATTAATGCAATGGGTTGTGAACGGGCAGATGAGGCGGCATTGATCACTCTCCGCTCCCCAGAAATGTT